GGGAATTCGAATCCCCAACCCTGGAGGTGCGAGGCAAACGTGCTTACCACTAAGCCATTGTGCCCAATCATACACAGGTCCGATTGGATTCATTTTCTTTTCTAATTCTAACAACAAACTTTGTTGGATAGAAATTAAGGTATTTTCTAATATTAGCAGCTATGCAGTGATATGGAGAGAGAGAGAGAGAGAGAGAGTGAGTGAGAGTGTGTGTGTGTGTGTGTGTGTGTGCGCGTGTGAGAGAGAGAGAGACAGTGTACTATTGCAAATGTGTATAATGGCTCCCGATGGAGCTGTATGTGAGGAACCTTTAGGTTGAGGATAAACGCACAGCACAGACATACTATCATCCTTATCACACAATTTCACCGAGTCATTAACCTTGCTTTTCTCCTCAAGCCTGGCAATCTCATCAACACCAAGATCATTTTTATTGGGTGGGGGAGGGCTGCAGAGAGGGGTTTCAAGCTAGAGGTGTGGAAATGTACGGACATCATACTTTGCAGCACATGTCTGCCATTGAACAGAATTTCTATTTTAAAACTCCTAGTGGAGAGAGACACACAAATACTACATACACAAATACAATACACACAAACCATCTTCCCTTATGTAGACGGTAGTGCAGTGATTTTGGGACGACAGCTCTTGTAACAAGCAGAAATCTTTTTGTGTATTAGCTACAGTTTGGTAACGTTACCTTTCACAGGGTGCGACTTGTGTCTTGCTGTATAGATATAACAACAACAAATGTGAGAGGATAGCGCAAAAATAGAAAATATGCATATACAAAATAGAACATAAGCCCTAAAACAAGCTCACAAATGTCTTTTCCATGTTCAAAATACTTTATTATAAAAGTACTGGATGTAAGATTTTAAAATTTCACACTCTCTGGTAGTAAACTGCTACTGCTAGCTAAAATACAGTGTAGAGAACAAAACAATTATGCCTCCTTGCTAAAAGACACTGATTCATGGATGAAATACACAGAAACATGTCCAACACAACTAGTTACCCACTACTTCACGACTGGGTAATGATGCTAATACCACAACATGGTTAAACCTGATGACTATCATTCTCGAACTATCTACCAAATTAAAGAATAAATAAATGTGCTACCTGTTCAGTAAGAAAAACGCTAAAATTCCATTAGTCCTGAATCCATTTTTCTCTTACTGATTATATAGTCTATTTCCTCCCTGATTGGCTGCCTGTCACCTTGCAGTTGGACTTCTTTCATGCCTCATTTTAGTGTGATGATGATATTTGACACAGAAATAGTGGAGTCAGGTATCAGCCATAGCTCAGCTGAAATCATTGATCCTGGAACTGAATCCTTGCGCACTGAAAGCTCGCTCTCCTCAGCAGAGTCCTCCTTATACCCTGAGATTCTATTCTCCCTCCTGCTCCTCATCCAAGAAGTGCTATATCTGTAGCCGTGTCTTGGAAGCTGACAGCGAACCGACAGTTGAACTGCGATGTTCAACTCTGGCTTGAGCAGCGTTCAGAAAGGAATCCGAATTATCCTCTTCCAGCTCACATGCACTACTGACGGGTTCCTCACAGGCCATGTCTGCCTCCCTCAACGGGGCATCTCTGAGGTTCCTTAAATAGATTGCTGATCAGGAATATGGCTCATAAGGGAGCCCTTAACCCTCGACCCATGTGCAGGTCCATTGTAATTACTGAATAATTCATAGCAGTTACTGAATTATGTGTGTTGAGATGAATAAGTGAATAAGAAGCGGAGAACTTAAAAACACCTCAAACCAGGGGTCATCAATTTGACATCTGACAACTAGACTACATGCAGTGCACATTATTTGATATTTAGACACTGAGAAAACTGTGGTGGAAGAACAGAGGCGAAATGGAACACTGTAAAATTAAAATCTGTCTTTACATATTTACTTTAGCAAGATTAAAAAGTAGTCCCCATTAAACTCACTTTTACATGTACAAATCCCACCATTGCATGACACATTCTGCACTAAACTTGTGACTGAGATGGACGTCTAGTTTAAACCTGAAGTGCTGATAGACCAATTCAGGACAATTCCTCATTTTCATTCTTGATCCTTGCTGCTCGCTGTGATGCAGAGGGTAGTAGTGAGCCACCTCACCTCACTCCAGAGGCCCCCATTTAATCCTGATCCCAGGTTACTCTCGGTGTGGAGCGGGTTTCCTCCAGGTTCTCCAGTTTTCTCCCACTCTCGTAAAACATGCTGGGAGGTGGATCGACTATGCTAAATTGCCCCAAGGTGTGAATGTGTGTGTGCATGGTACCCTGTGATAGACTGGGGTCTCATCCGGTCTCACGCCTGGTGGCTCTGGATGCATGAATGTTTTGACCAACCTACTAGAGCAAGAAAGCACTGATGCAAGCAGAAGGAAGCAGTGAGAAACATTACTTTTACTTCTCTATTTATGACCAACGGAAAAGAGCAGGGTTTGTTTTTTATAGCCTATACTCATTCTATATCCTTCTCATTCT